GTTGGAATCAATACAATTGATAGCTTAATATAATCCTTAAAACTTTTGGATCATATTGCTCAGTCCTCAAAATCCTCAAAAAATTGGAATAATCTCCAGTCTACAAATTAGGAAAGTGAAGTTAGTTGGAGTATTTCAAAGAAGGCTATAAAGGGAGATGAATTTAAAGAACCAGTAGGTCTGTAGTGGGAGTTCTTACAGCCACTGATAATCCCCTTTGCAAAGGAACTAATTATGTTTGGAGAGGATGTGTGTGCCTGAAAAAATAATTAAAAATAAATTGCTCTCTTTGGAAATGCAAAAAAAAAAAAAAAAAGACCTATACAAAGAAACCGACTAAATACTATTCAAGGAACAAAATGAGACCTACATTTATGGAAGAATGTGTCATACTTATGGGTAGGAAGACCTACCATTGAAAATATCAAGACTATCCAAAATTATCTACAGATAGAATGCAATCTCAATCTAGATTCCAACACTACTCTTTAAAGCAATGGAATAATTTATGGAAGCACAACCCAGATAAGCAAAGCACTACTAAAGAGGAAGAATAAAAGAAGATGCCTCTCATTTCTTGACCTCAAAACCTGCTACACAGTTACAGTAGTCAAAACAGACTGTTGCTGGTACAATGACAGACACATAGGCAAATAGAACAGAATTAAGAACCCAAAAGTAAATCCATACACTTATGGAGAGTTGATCTTTGACAAAAGGAAAAAGCCCATTGAATGGCAAAGAGATAGTTTCTTAAACAAATGCTACTGACAAAACTGGATATTCATTTGCACAAAAATGAAATGGGATCCATATCTCTCACTATATACAAAAGTTAACTCAAGATGAATCAAAGAGTTAAATGTAAAATTTAAAACTATGAGTATCATCAAATAAAAAAATATTGGAAATTTCAGCGAGTTTAATTTATGACATAAATACATTATCAAACAGCTAAAAATGAAACAGCAGAACACAAACAAGACTACTGCAACATCTTAAAAATTAAATATTTATGCACATCAAAGGACTTCACCAAAAATAAAAGAGAATCTACAGAGTGGGAAACATTTTTTTGGCAACAACATTGGACAAAAAAATCTCAACACCTTAAGAACAAAAACACAAACAATCCCATTACAAAATGGGCAAAGGAGATGAGTGAGAAAGGTCACTAAAGAAGTCATTCTGGTGACTAACAAACAAATGAAGAAATGCTTGAAATCATCAGTCACTACCCCTTCCAGTCTTCTCTCCCTTCACTTTCCACCCCTGGTGAAATCCCACTGCCACTGAATGGACTCTGACTCATAGTGACCTAATAGGACAGAACAGAACTTTCCATAGGGTTTCCAAGGCTATAAATGTTTATTGAAGCTGACTGCCACATCTTTCTCCCACAGACCATCTGGTGAATTTGAAATGCTGATCTTTTGATTAGCAGCCCAATGCTTAATACACTGTGCCACCATGACTCCTTCATTAGCTGTTGCTGCTGCTGTTGCTTCTGTGTGCCTTCAAATAGATCCCAACACATAGCTGCCCTGAAAAAGATTTCTTAGTCTGTAAATCTTATGGAAGCAGAAAGTCTTAGATTTTTCCTGTGGATTCAAACTGCAGACATACTCTGCTGGTCATTGTTATAGTTGTTATTAAGTGCTGTCAAGGTCGAGTCAGTTCCCTGTATATAGTGACCTGCATATCTAGCAACCTTCTATAGGGTTTCCAAGGAGTGGCTGGTGGGTTTGAACTATCAATATTATGGTTAGCAGTCCAATGCTTATCCTACAGCACCATAGCCATTAGAGAGATGTAAGTGAAAGTAACAATGAGATATCATCTCTCCTAACATTAATGTCAAAGTTTAAAAACAAAACAAAACAGAAAACAATAAATGCTGACCAAGGTATAGAGAGATGAACCATCATACACTGCTGGTGGGACTGTAAAATGCTGCACTGTACAAGATGACACGGCACTTTCATCAAAATTTGGAAATAAACACATCGTATGAGCCAACAATCCCACTCTAATGTATATATTCTAGAGAATCTAGAGAAATAAGAGCCATGAAACGAATAGATATATGCAAATCCATGCTACCTCAGTCTCATTCACAATAGCAAAAAGAAACAATCTAAGTGCCTATCAACAGATGAAGGTATAAATAAACTATGACATATACACACAATGGAATTCTATGCAACCAGAAATGATGACTATGAATCTGTGAAACACCTCATAATGTGGACGAACCAGGAGGTCATTATGCTGAGTAAAATTGGTGGTGGTGGAGGTAGTGGTTGAGTGCCATGGATTTGGTATTGGCTCATAGTGACTCTGCATATCATTTCCAAGGCTGAAAATCTTCATGGAAGTAGAAACCCTCATCTTTCTCCCATGTGGGAATTCTTTAGAAAAGTTGAAATTTTTCTCTACCCCTTCTGTTCATAAATTAAATGTAGTTGGTAGATTCAAACTGCTCTTAATCCATTGTATAACAGGGTTCAGGATACTAAGGTCAATTTACATAACAATAGTAGACTGCAATGTCATTTGAACTGCAAGGTCAGTGGTTCAAGTTCACCAGCTGCTCCATGGAAACCCTATACAGGGCCGCTATCTGTTGTAATCCACTTGATGGCACTTAACAACAACAATGAAGTCCTGGTGTGGCACAGTGGGTTAATGTGCCAGACTGAAAAGCCATTTGAAATGCAAGGTTGATGGTTCAAGCTCACCAACTGCTCCTCAGAAACCCTATACAGGGTCGCTATGGGTTGTAACCGATTTGATGGCACTTAACAACAACAACGTATCCTAGTTGGTGAGTAGTGTCTGGGATTTAAAAGCTGTCTGGAACAAAGAAGAGGGCAGAGTTTTCTTTTGTTGTATATGGAGTCTCTATGTTGACAGCACCTGCCAACCACTTAAGAAGGTCTGATGAGAAATGAGTATATTCTTCTCCACAAACTGATTAATAAAATACTTAATATATGGTAGTTTGGGTAGAACTTGATGAAAGAAGGAGTCATACATCTACTTATTCATATGGGTCACATAATTTGAGGAAGTGCATGATATAGGCACATTGTTGTTGTTGAGTGTCATCTTGTTGGTTCCAATATTAACATACATACAAAAATACACATTTATTAATTATTAAATCATTCATTCAAAAAATAACAACAACAAAAAATAAGATTTTTATTATTATGTGTTTACCAGGGTCCCAGTGGTAAAGGAGGTTCAGGTGGGTCAAAACTTTCCAGGTGACACCGGAAATAAATTAGTAAGCCAAATAAATCATCTCATCAAGGTTTCTGAAATACATTTGAAAAGATATACTTAGACGGATTTATAAATGTGAGTTAAAGTAGAGACAGAAAAAAACACTTTGATCTTTTGCTGGACAATATAGCTCAGAGAGTTTTCCATCCCCCTGTTCCTAATACTGTTAGACTTTGTCATTATATTTAATTCATCTAACCATATCACCACCAACCATTATAAGTAGAACATAAAATATGCTAAAAGAATACTTTAAGATGCTCTCCTTCTTAATTCTTTTATCTATTGTGTTTATGCCTCCCACACTAATGATAATTACTTTATTTCTCTGCATAATCATTTTGAAAAGAATCCAGTGAATATTACATGAGACAGTATTTACTCTGAGTATATGTCACATTCCAAAATTGCAGAGCTTTGGAGAAAATTCTTGGTATCCAGTCAGTTATTCAGAGAGATGGCAAACTGGCATAGGTTAGCGATAATTATCTAGTCCACTCCTCAATTTGATTTGACCACATGCATCTCTATTAGCAATAATTACCTTTGGAGAGAAGTACACTTGTTGTTTTAGCACTGTAGATTTGATTCCAACCCATTGTTCACATACTTAAATGTGAAATGCTCTTCATTTCTAGAATACAATGTAAGGAACACCAGAAGAATGTGAATGTTGTGCTTTCTTGGACCCTGTAGATCTCTTTTCTGAATTCCATTTGTAATAAACTGAGCCTTCAATGCTTCAGACGTTTCTTTCATTTATAAAAGTTCATAAAACAATTTCATTGCTTATGACCTTCTGAAAAGGTTACAAAGTTGAATCAATGAGGACAATCCTTTGATTGGCAAGTACCCACAGAATATTTATACACTAAGTAAATTACATCCAAGATTTTATTTCAATAAATGTATGTTTAATAAGATATTATGTTGTGTGTTGTTAACTGCAGTCTAGTTGGATCCAACTTATAATGACCCTGTAAAGGATTTCTGAGGAGCAGGCCATGGGTTTGATCTGACAACCTTGTAGTCCACAATCCAGTGCTGATCCTGTAATGGAGTTCAGACATGCCACGAGTTCAACAAGGCATTATACTTAGTACTAATCAAATTTCTCTACTTTAAAAAACCTTTCATTTTTTTTTTTTCATACTATCTACTGATCCTTGGAAGCCCTACACATTATCCCGATGAGTCAGACATGACTTGATGGTACTTAACAACAACCAACAACATGCTATGCATTAATTGAAGAAGCTTTGGCTGTACAGTCATTAGAAGTTCTAGATTGTTAACAAATAGTTCAGAGGTTTAAACCCACCAGCAGCTTCATAGGAGAAAGATGGCATTTAACAACAACTAACAACATGCCATGCACTAATTGAACAAGTCTTGGTTGTATAGTAATTAGAAGTTCTAGGATGCTAACAAATAGGTCAGAGGTTTCAACCCATCAATTGCTTCATGGGAGAAAGATGTGGTGTGAGCTTCCATAAAGATTTACAACCTTGGAAACTCTATAGGATAGTTCTACTCTGTCCTATATGGATGCTATAAGTTAGAATCACCTCATTGGTAGTGGGTTATTATAAATGAGGGAGAGCATGGGAAGTTAGCTGGGAAGGTTGATAGGGTTTAGATGTTTGGACTCTGTTCTATGGATAATTAAACATTTTTATTATATATATTGTCTTTATTCATACAAATAGGTTCCAAACAGACCCTGTGGCCAAATTTGGCATTATTTTTTTCTTGTGGAGCATCGTATCCAAAGTCGTCCATCTTCAGGAAATCAGTACCAATTATACTGGCTCAAAAGAGGCTATTGATTTTCTCACAAGACACCAAAACTTCAGCATTACAGAGTTTGTCAAGAAAAATGGTTTTTATCTCAATAATAGCACTTTGCTGGAATGTGACTTTTTTGGAAGGCGTTGTGGACCAAAGGTAATAATTTGTTATATCTCCAAATATCATTGATGTAATTGTCTACTCTGTTATATTGTTTCACACTTAGAAATTGCTCATTTCCATAGGGACTCTATCAAAATATGCTAAAAAATTATAGTCTATTAGCTCAGCCTTATGATATTGGGTGTGTGTGTGTGATGTAGGGGGTAAGCCCTTGAATGCTAACTGAAAGGTTGGTGGTTCAAATCCAGTTGATCCACAGGGGAAAATGTAGCAGTCTGCTTCTGTAAAGATTGTTGTTGTTGTGTAGTTGTGATGTGCCGTGGAGTCGGTTCCGACTCATAGCGACCCTGTACAGGGTTTCCAAGGCTGTAAATCTTTACGGGAGCAGAAAGCCTCCTCTTTCTACCGCGGAACGGCTGGTAGTTTTGAACTGCTGACCATGAGGTTAGCAGCCTGATTTGTAACCACTACGCTACCAGAGTTTATCACCTTGGAAATCCTAGGGGAAATTCTACCCTGTCCTATAGGATTTTTATGAGTCAGAATCAACTCAATGGCAACAGGTTTGGAAAACATATGAAACAAAATTTGTATTTCAAGTAGCTTGATGTTGTTGCTAAGTGCCGTGGAGTCGGTTCCGACTCATAGCGACCCTGTACAGGGTTACCAAGGCTGTAAATCTTTATGGGAGCAGAAAGCCTCATCTTTCTCCTGAGGAACCTCTGGTAGTTTTGAGCTGCTGATGTGAGGTTAGCAGCCCAACTCGTAACCACTACGCTACCAGAGCTCCTTAAGCAGCTTGATAAGAGAAAAGAAATCTGTTGCCTACCTTGCAGTTTATTCCTCCAAAATAAAAACTATTTTAACACAAAGAGTATCTTTTTTTTCCCCCACTTATCTGCAAATAACCCATTTTCAGTAGCAGTTTTTATCACTTAGCCACTATCATTCTGGTTTTATGTTTGTGTTATTGAATTAGAGGCTATAGAAAATGAGAGGTTAACAGTATTTGAATATGAAAAGGATGGATATATCACTCATAAGATAAAAATTCTTTTCTTATTTCTTTTATAATTAATATATACATTTCAGAAAAAGTGATGGATATATCTGGAATATGTAGGTAATTTGACCACTTATTCATGCATATATAAGCAAATCTATAGCCTTTGTGTTGTTAGGTGATTCACAAATCCCTGCTCTGTGAGATAATTCCTTATACTTTTGGTCATCTCCCCTAACACATAATAAACATGGTAGGTGTGGGGGGAGCCTGAGAGATATTTGAATGTGAGAGGTATCCATCTATGTTGGTTTTTTTATTTGCAAAAATGTTTAAATATACCACCAAGAAATTAAATATTAGATGGAACATTTTTATTTGCAAATATAAAAACCTGATTCCAGTAAGTTGCAGAGTAAAAGGAATGTATTGGTTCAGTTAACTGGAAAGTTACAAAGTAGGCCCAGAAAAGACTGACCCAAGAAATTCCACTTCTACATTAAGATTGTTGAACATTTGCATTTTCTGGTTGATTTTGTTTTTGTTTTTTTGGGGGGTATGAGTTTCCTGAACTCAGACCCATAATGATGTTAACATTATGCTCTCATTATCATACTTTAATACTCTAGTATCCACTTGAAAGTCCATGAACGATTTTGGTTCACTTTGCTTCTGGCCCATATCAATTCCTGTGGCAATCACTCAGACTGTTGTTGCTGTTAGGTGCCGTGGAGTTGATTCCGACTCATAGTGACCCTGTACAGGATTTTCGAGGCTGTATATCATTATGGGAGGCAGAAAGCCTCCTCTTTCTCCCACGGAACAACTCGTAGTTTCGAACTGTTGACTTTGAGGTTCGCAGCCCGATTCGTAACCACTGTGCTACGAGAGCTCCTTACTCAAACTATAGGATTGGGTAATAATATTGCCAATGTCTTACATGTAGACCTCTATAAATGAGGACAATTGTGGAAAAGAGAATAGTATTGTGTTTGGCCAGCCCATCATGATCATGTATCATAGAGGAGGGATGGTCCATCAAAGGAAAGAATTCACCTCATTCAAACATATGTTTCTTTGAGTCCTTAGTAAAATATGAAACAAATATAATTTTGAAAATCTTATAAACATGACTAATTTTATAAGGAAATATCTTATTTAAATAATAAATTAGAATTGACAAACATATATTTTAAAAAAAACTATCATTGAATAAAAAATTGATCACTAGATGACCCATTCATTCTAATATCTTTGCATTCTGAATTAAAAATCTGTGATTTAAAAATAAAAAATGATTTATACTTCAGAGGTGATACAAACACATGACTGATTGTGTTTTATTTTATTTATTTTAATATTATAGGATTTTGCACATGTCTTCACTGAATATGGAAATTGTTTTACTTTTAATCATGGTGGAAATATCCAACCAAGGAAAAAAGTGAGTGTGTCAGGAAAAGGCTTAAGCTTACTCTTCAATGTCAAGCAGGTAAGGGATCCCCTTATTCTTAGTCAGGAATCGAGTCAAATAAGAGTGGGAGTTTCAAAAGACTTCAACCAAATATTTGTTCTTTCAAATATCTCCCACAAGTTAGATGTTATTTTGGCATTTTTAATCTGATGGATATAATTATTGACTTTTTAAAAAAGGTTTTTATTGCAGATTGAGTGAAAATTTACAGGGCAGATCATTAGTTTTACATTCATCAAATTATACACCTGCTTTCATTACAATGATTATAATCCCTTCCATGTACCATCAGTTAACAGTACTTCCCTCTATTCATTTTAGCTCTTTTGGTTTTGTTTTGTTTGTTTTTTTTAAACGCTCAGGCATATATTATAATTTATACCACCAAAGGGCACTTTCTACAAGTCTGCCTCCTGGCCGCCAACTCTTAGTCCTTCTCTTCCCATCAATCTAGAGTCCTCAGCTGCTCCCTCTCTCCATGTCCCCATCTCTGCCCCCATCTCTGGTGTCTCTGCTTCTCTGGATAAGGTCTTGCATTCTGCTTGTGCTCTACTCCCTTTGGTCCTAGGACCCTTTGTTTCTGGACTGTATGATCAACCACTCCCCCGTTTTTATTACAAAACGTCTGCCTTTGCAATTGTGAAAGTCACAATAAGTCATAATAACAATTACTCACTATTGAATCATACGAATCTTATCCCCATCTCCTTTAGCTTACTAGACCCATCTAGACAAGATGAAAACTATTCAGCAAGCAGGGACTCTTTTTCCCCTCACATACCTTGTAAGCCAGTCACTTATTGACTTTATCACCCACTTATTTTAGGTAGTCAATGTCTAAGTTGCCCATCCTATGTACAGAGGAGATAGCACTGGTATTTGATGTGAAGACTCCTTCCCTCTCTGTTGGTATTTAGAGTTACTATCTCCATGAGTATAGGTCAAGTTCATCAAATTGTAGCAATTTACCCTCATTTCCTTTATCAAAAATTGTTCTTTCTTTTTTTTCATCTTCCTCTAGTCAAGTTCTGATTATCAAGTCATCAAGGCTAAGTCAAATGGGTACTATCTGCAAGTTTAGGTGTTCTTGTGCATCTCCTCTCACTTCATATCAGCTGGATGCTTCACTCTGAGCTATAGCCCTCTGTGGTTATGTCCTTGCCCGTAGGCTCATGTGTCCCCAGGTCTCAACACACTTTGGGCCAACCAGCCCTTCCTCTTCTCTCTCACATCTCCAGTTTGTGGAACGTGGTTGAACTCAGCCCATTTCTTCATTGCTTCCTTTCCTCCTCTTCCACTCACCAGTAGACCAACATGGGCACCAGCAAGCTTATATGCCTGCTCATGTGTTTGTTCCCTTTGAGTTTCAGTCTTGGAAGGGGAATTATCCTGAAGGTACTAGATGGCTTGCCTTGATGGCTCCCAGGTGAACAGCTTGCTTGTCCTTAGAAAAACCAAAGAATCTGCCTTTTTATTCCTGCTGGTCTTTCTTTCAAGAAGTATCTTTTTTTCCTCTAGCCACTCCAGACTGGTCTGCATGTCCTTTCAAGTGGTAATATCCCACCTCAGAAGGTTATGCATAGGGCTCAAGATTCCCCTAAAGGTCCTATACATGGTAAAGGCTTCACAAGAAGCCAGTTTTACTGAGCAAGTTCTAGAACCCCTTTTAGGTATTCCATTCAGTTATAGACTGAAGACAGGTTTACAAGCTTTCTGTAATCATGTGTCCTGATATTCCTTTCTATCCTACTCAAGTGTCTATTTTACAATAGCAGGCAAGAGAAACCAATATCATAAGACAGTCAAGCATCCTAACATTATTTCTCCTCTTTTACATTCAGATTATGCCTTGATCCCTTTATCACAGAGCCCTGTTGTTCCAAGGTTGAGTATATATCATTATTTATCTCTGTCCCATTTAGCTCATGAAAACCTACCTAAATGTTCTCCGATCTTCCTTGTTTTTCCACCCCATCCCCCATTCTGTGTATGGTTTTTCCTTTCCTTGTATATTATTCTCTCCAACTCCTGAACTATGATGTGACTATCCCCTAACCTGTGCTCTGCCTTTTCCTCTTTCCCACACCTGGTAACTAACAATATATTTTTTTTCTTTTAGTATGGATATCTTTTATTAAGCATTTTACAATATTTGTACTTTTGTGACTGACTAATTTCACTCAGCATAATGTCCTCAAGGTTCATGTATGTTATGCAGTGGTTGACAGCTTCGTCATTATTCATCAAGGTAGCATAGTATTCCATTTTTTGTATGTGCCAATGTTTGTTTATCCATTCAGCCATTAATGGGCACTTAGGCTGTCTCCATCTTTTTGCTATTGTGAATAATGCTGTGCATAAATATTGATATGTATGTATCTACTCTATGGGTCGGACCCGACTCGACGGCACTTAACAACAACAACAACAACAACTCATGTTTTGGCTCGTATTTCTTGTGAACATATACCAAGTAGAAGAATTGCTGGATCATAAGGTATTTCTATTTCCAACTTTCTGAGGAAGTGATATACCATTTTCCAGAGTGGTTTAAATATTTTACAGTTCCACCAGCCATGTAGGAGGATCCTAGTCTTGCTACATCTTTGCCAGCATTGATTGTCCTTTGCTTTTTTGAACTCCACTGTTATTGCTGATGTGAGATGATATCTCATCATTGTTTTGATTTGCATCTCTATAATGAGTAATGATCATGAACATTTCTTATGTTTGTTGCATGCCTAAATGTCTTCCTTGGTGAAGTATATGTTCATGTCCTGTGCCCATTTTTAAATTGGTTTATTTGTTTTTTCTTGTAGAAATGTTGTGGTTTCCTATAGCTTTTTAGAGATTAGTCCCTTGTCTGATATGTTGTTGCAAAAAAATTTTTCTCATTCTATGGGCTCCCTTTTTACTCTTTTGGTGAAATCTTTTGATGCACATAAGTTTCTAATTTTTAGTATGACCCAATCATTACTTTGTCTTCTTTTGTTTGTGAAATTCTAACAATGTTGGGTAGTCTATGTGTGCCCTGTATTAGAGCCCTTAAATTTGTCCCTATTTTTTTCACTGATGAACTTTATAATTCTGGGATTCATATTTAGGTCTTCAATTCATGCTGAGTTGGGATTTGTATATGGTGTGAGACAAAGGTCTTGTTTCAGTCATTGCTTATCAATTTCAAGTTCTGCCAGCCATCTGTTGAAAAGACTATTTCCTACTCATTCAATGTAGTTTGGCCCTTTGTCAAAGATCAGTTGTCTATATGTGGATGGGTTAATTTCTGGATTCTCAATTCTGTTCCATTGATCTATGTATCTTTCATTGTACCAGTACCAGGCTGTTTTAAACACTGTAGTCATGTAATAAATTTTGAAATCAGGAGTATTTAAAGTTTCCAGAGTTTGCCGTTATAGTATAAATAATCTTTTCTGTATACTTTTTAAAAAAATATGTGAATTATCTGCTGGAACTGTTGAAAGAAAGTATATAGCACGGATCTATTGCTCGTAGGTTTTATTTTTTAAACATATCACTTAGTTTGTTGGAATTGTCAAAGACTGTATCTAGAGCTCATGTTTTTGTTAAATGTTTACAATAGTAAATCATTTGAATTCAGTAAATATTATTAACCATTGTACTGATCAATGCATATACCCACTCATCCATTTTTTTGGTTTTCAAGTTCCTTGTATGTGAAACAAGCATACAAAGATTAGAATGCTTTTGATGAACATAATTAATTCCAAGTTGATTTTTGAGTACCCTTTCATGTAACATCACCAGCCACTTACAGTTTCCCTGTCTTTAAATTTCTGATTATTGTTGTATCTGTTGTATATTTAGTTTGTATAGTTTCATTTGCTTCTGTATGTGTATTTTTGTATAAAATCCCAGATACTTCCAATGGGAATTCTCAGTCTACCTCCAGCTCATTTGATAGAGATAGTCTATCTCTTTTCTGGACATGAGCAGAAATTTTCTGTTGCTTTTTAGACATCATAGTGCTGTTGTAGTTTCAATACTTTGAAGAATGTATGTTGGTGTATTATTAGGCTCTCTGATTGCCTCATGGTAGAGGTGATCAGGAAACAGACTTCTCTTTTTACTTCTTTTATTACTAAAGTCAGTGATTTTAGCAAGTGTTTGTTATTTTTACTTCTCAGGTGTATAGCAGCTGGTATTGGCTCTTCCCCAGATGGTGAGATTTTTATAGGGTGCATTTGTAGCTTGGCAATATGACCACAATTGTTGTTTCCTGTTGGGCAATGCAAAGAGAGGTAAAGCCTCCCACCCCAAAAGGTAAAAGGGAGATTATAAAAACCCAGAGTGGACATAAAGTCTATTTTTGCCAAACACACACACACAAGAAAAATGTAGCAAAATATGAGTCAGAATTGAATGCCTTTTTCTCAGCTTCTTGCCTTTAAAACCACATGAAAACATTCAATTTTTACCATTGGACATTTAACTTAAGATTTATGTTTTGACCTTTTTCCTTTTTTGCCTCTCTTACTTCTCTTCAAGTCCATTTAGGTGTTTCTCCTAGAGAGAAACAGGCCAGGGTTGGCCAGTGCCATTTTGGAAGACACTCCCATTTTTAGCTGTTTCTGTTGACTCCTCCCTCTTCTTGAATGCTTCGCCCAGTGATCTTTGCTGAGAAGATCTGTGCTTGTGTGTAATAGAACTTTCTACAGGTTCTATACACTCACTTAAGTTCCCCTTCTAGTCACCAGAGTGGAGGTGGGCAGTCAAAGAAAGATAAAAGAACAGAAAAAAAAAAATATTCACACCTTTATCTCTGACAATCAGTCTGACCTCTGTGATGAGAATGCTCTATTAGTCTTGTATCTACTCTGACCCACTGAAAATGGCTGCACCAGGACTCACTGACCACTGCAAATCAGAAAACACCACCTGTCTTGCTTCAGCTTCAAATCCAACTCACAGAAAGCCTTTGATCCTCCTATATGGACTTCAGAGGTACAGGACCATCATTTGAGCCTGTTTCTTCTGGTATTCCATGTTGTTACTGGTGAAGGTCTGCATGACCCTTCTCCCTAATTCACCATCAAGCCCCACCTGTAGCTTGACAAATATTCAAATATTAGTCATTCAAAAATCATATGAAATTCAATCTTGCTGTTGTTGCTGTTAAGTGCTATTGAGTCAATTCTGACTCATAGCAACTGTGTATAGGATTTCCAAGGAAAGAATGGTGGATTTGAATCACTGATCTTGTGGTTAGCATTCAAGTGCTTAGCTTACAGTGCATATACCACATATGTAAATATTTAATGCAGTTACACTCTGTAAATTCTACACATTTTTGTAAGCTCTGTGGCACCTAGATATTTCTCCAGAATTTCTGGGTTATCAGCGAATCACATGTCATAGGAGAAATAGGCTCTAAGTCACAAATGGAATTTTAAGTGGGTCGATTAAATGTACTGACCCATTCACAGGAAAAAACAATCATATTCCCAATTGTATTCCTTATCCTTGTAGCTTGAATTTAAAGCTAAAGGCAAAAGCTCCAGAAGTTTTTGTCATATAAACTTCTTCATATGACAAAATATCTAAATAAAGATATCACTGGTGTTAAAGAAATAATATGTCTTAAATATTATGGGCAAATGGATTTGATTAATGATTTTGAAAAGTGAATATTGATTTTAAATAAAACAAGAAATTTGTATGCCAAGGAGAGTGGGTCAAATTATTTTCTAAAACAAATAAAGCAAAGAAAATAGCTTTGAAGACTAAAGCCATAAGATTTCCAATTGCTTCATATACATGTGAAATTCAGACAGGGAATAAGGAAAACCTCAGAAGAAATGATGCATTTGAATATGATGTTTAATGTACAGTGGAATACCAGAAGAATAAACAAATATATCTTGGAAGAAGTACAGCCAGTAGCGAAGATTGTGAGACTTCATTTCTAGTTTTATGGGCATGTTGTCAGGAGTGACTAGTCCATGGAGAAGGATATCATTCTTGGTAAAGTAAAGGATCAATGAAAAAGAAAAAGACCCCCAATAAGATGGATTAAACAGTGGCAGCAACAATGGGCTCAAACATAACAACAATTGTGAGGATGGTGTACAACTAGGCAGTGTTTCATTCGATTGTTCATAAGGTTGATATGAGTCAGAACCAATTTGATGGCATCTGACAACAAGGAGGAAAGAACTAAGAGGCAATTAGGTAAAGCAAGGACCAAAGGAGAGAAGATGATTAACAGTCATAATATGTGCTAATACATGCAGCTAAGATGAAAATTGATCTATGGCAAAATATTGGAATTTTAAGTGTTATTCTACCATGAAAAATATTATAGGCATTAATTTTCATAACTTTTCTATGAAAAGAGATGGTATGCTGATATTGAAAATGAAATTTATGTGGGATTGATACAGTCAATTAAAAACTGGAAAACAATGAATTTTTGTTTCAGAAGGAGTTCACTGATGATCCAGCCCTTGGCTTTGTTGACGCTGGGATTGTCTTTGTTATCCATTCACCAAATAAGGTGCCACAGTTTGATGGTTTAGGTTTGTCTTCACCTGTGGGAATGCATGCGTGGGTAACCATCTGCCAAGTGAAGGTAAATATTCTCAAAATGTTGTGCCTGAGAGAATTAGGGATGAGGTGATGCCCTCAGTTGTCTGTCAGGAGAAGCTGGTGTTGCTCCGATGTTGAACAGGTGTCAATGGTGCTTCCATACTAAAGCAGGAAGTAAAAAAGGTCTGACAATGTAGTTCCAAAGGAGCACTGGTAGTGTAGTGGTTACGAATCGACCTGCAGACATCAGCGTCAGCAGTTCAAAACTACCAGCTGTTCCGCGGGAGAAAGATTAGGCTTTCCGCTCCCGTAAAGATTTGCAGCTTCAGAAACCCCTTACAGGGTCGCTATGAGTCAGACCAACTCCTCAGCACTCATTACCAATGTAGTTCCAAAAACCAACCACTGAGAACCCTATGGATCACTGTGGTCTGATCCTGCAAAGTGCCTTTAGAACAACCACTGGAAATTCTGTGCTTTGAGGTTATTTTCTTTTGCCTGAAGACACACATTAATAAAAACAGAGAGTTCACATATGCAATATAATTGAAAGCTGGGAAGCCTATGAAGTCCAAGGTAGTTTTAAATTTCATAGAAATGGAAATTGGCATTAAGTCTGGGAGACATGTTGCTAACTGTTAGTTATCTCAATGGGACTGTCTGGGAAAGAGAAAAGCAAAGTTGGAAAAGCAGCAGGTTTGGCCTCAGATTTGCCAACCACTTGCTCCAGATACTTACTCAGTAATTTTTTAGGTAGTCTCCTGCAATCCCGTCTGCTTCCCGTAAAATCTGGGGACTGTCTTTCATAGTTACTACAATGTTTAAGTGAAATAAAGACAGCATTTACCATGTCGCCTCATACACAATAAAACCAAAATCCAATCCCACTGCCCAAAAGAGTCAATTCCAACTCTTTGTGACCTTTATTAGGATTTCAGAAACTCTAAATCTTTATGGTTGCAGACAGCCTCATCTCCTTCCCATGCAGCTCAAGGCCTAACCCACAGCACAAGCAGAGCTACTTTTACAGACAAGAAATGTTCAATAAAGGATTTCTTCTGTGATATTGGTTGCTGTTTGGGAGGTGTGCTGAATACATTAATGTGTAACTTGCATAAGCTAATAGTATATTTTCCATATATGAGTTAATTTTTAGAAAATCAGTCAGTTGACTCTATTGATTCACTACATTATGATAGTCTTTAAAGGACCACTATGATATTAACCTACAGGGATTTCCAGGTTAATAGAACAGGCAAAGCTGGAAAATGTATAGTCAACTGAAAAAATTTTTAAATCATGGAGCTCTGAGAGAAAACTAATATTATATGTAAGATTTTTCTCTTGCCATGGAAATGGGTGGATTGCTTCAGAAAAACCTCCAGTTCTCTTGTTTATTTCATCTCAAGACAGTTCATCAAGAGTACCCTTGGGGAGAATGCAACCCTAACATCAAGCTGAAGAATTATAGCAGATACAGCACATCTGGTTGCTTGAAAGAATGCAAAGCATGGCACATACAAAGGCAATGTGGATGTTTGCCTTTTCTCCTTCCTGGTAAATAAAGAATGACTTCCCTTTTACTTAATTATATTTACTTTCATTGAGACACAGTAAATCAACATGAAATGTTGCTTGGTCCTATGGTATTTTCATAACCCTAGGTTTGTTTGATTCCATTGTGTGGTCCCTTCCTTATAGGGTTGCTATAAAGATAAACCAAGTATTTAAATGGTTTTACATGCCTATCGCACAGTGTATTTCATATAAGTGATTTCTTTGTTCAGATTTTCATCATTCCCTTTTCCCAATATATCTATAAAGAAACATTGAGGGTACTAAGAGCAAAGCAGTTTGGCTGTATATGCTCACATCATGACCCACCATGCATACATTTGCACATACAAACTCTCCAACACAAGTATACTAATGCTGCTTCTGTCTCTGTAGCAAGGGTATCAAAGCATCTACTTCAAAAGCTATTTCTCAGGGATTTTTTTTTTTTTTAGATTGTTCATTTCCTTCATTCTGTTGTTGTTGTTAAGTGCTGACTAATCAATTCAGATTCTTAAGTAACCTATAAAGACTTTCCAAAGAGCAACTTTGTAGTCAGAAATCCAGTGCTTATCAGACAGTCATACCAAGACTCCTTAGAATCTAGATTTTCTAGATCTCTGATCCCTCTAAAACCTGCCATTCTAAAAAACTGCTAGACTGTGTTTTAGAAACACTATGTTTTTCAGAGATAAGTTCTTCTTAAATTAGACTGATTTTGTCATTGCCAATTGTATTTCCAAAGTTATTGGAAACAGGTCTGAACTGATAGATGGAAAATGATGCTTACAATGTAATATGTTATTGATTCTTGCAACAAAATACTACCTAAATAACGAATGTGGACCAGACACAAGACAAGATGCTACATAAAAAGCAAAGCATGATACTTGAAAAGTATTTTGTTGTTGTTGTTAAGTGCCATCGAGTCTATTCCAACCCATAACTGCCCTGTATAGGGTTTCCAAGGAGCAGCTGGTGAGCTTGAACCACCCACCGACCTTGAAGTTTAAATGACTTTGCAGTCTGATGCATTAGTCCACAAGCACCACACCAGGACTCCCTTGCAAAAGTATTAGGGTTTACCAAATACTTCCTTTTTTGATTAGATTTTCCTTTTGTTCCTTTACATCTATATACATGAGGCTTGTAGACATTATATGAACTAACTAAACTATCTGCATTAATACTGTGTACATCCAATTCCAAAAATCAGCTTCAAAACATGGGTCACTTCTAAAATTTTATTCTTCATTGCAGCAGAGATGTTGCATGAAGAAAGGCATACTTTGGAAAAGTGAAACTTTTTTTGCTAATTAATGTTGGAAGTAGTTGTGTTGGTTTTTTTTTCTAACTTTTTATTTTACTTCTTTTAGTTCCTTCACAAAGAACATTTCTTTATTATAAGCCAAGCTATCCACAACCGTTTGTAAGTGGAAGCATGTGCTTTGACTATTTTCTTGATAAATGACTAGCCATCGATGCTATTTAACCTTAGAGACTACATGGCTTACAATGTTATTGTTAAATGCCGTGGAGTCGGTTCCGACTCATAGCGACCCTGCACAGGGTTTCCGAGGCTGTAAATCTTTACGGGAGCAGAACGCCTCATCTTTCTCCCGAGGAACTGCTGGTAGTTTCGAACTGCTGACCTTGCGGTTCACATCCCGATTCGTAACCACTACATGGCTTACAATGAACTGGTAAATATTAAGAAGCAATGAATATGGTTTGGAAACAGCCTCAGGATTAAACCAGGGTTTTGAGCTGTTTCAAATTAGTTCAGTCATGGCCAATGCAGCAAAATTAGAACAGCCTCAAATGTATGCAAGCAGTAACCAGAATGAGAAAAAATTATGTGCTTAGGCCCTGGAATGGGAAACTCTTAAGGCACCAGTCAGCCCTTTCAGAAGCCTGATGCTGAACTGGGTTACTATTAGGACTGTGGAGAGTGATAGACATGCAAAACAACATAATCAGCCACCATTTTAGAATGGAACACCATTGTTTCATATTCTGCCATTCAGGAAACTTGGTTGCTTTATAGGAGTGAAATTAAATTTCTAGTAGGGCATCAGATACATAGTTTTTCATACTCCGTACTGTTCTGGTACAGCCGCATTTTACAAATTCAAATCCATTCTGGTTTCATTTCATCAACTATAGTTCAACTGTTTAGAAATGGTTTGAAGCCCTGAATCAAACCAACTCTGACACCTACTGGCATCATTATTTGTCTCAAGATCCACATCAGGTTATTAACAAATATTGGTGCTTACTGGCTCCACGCTATTTCTAGAAAGGCAGTTACCAAGCACATATATATTAATGAATAGAAGGAGCAGCATCAAACATTCATGGACTGTGTTGAAAGTCCTCTAAACGTGCAATACAATGTATATTTTCATTAAGTGCTAATGTGTCATCATACTTTTACAAAAAATAATGTATGTAGCAGGTTGATAGGTAAGTAAGTAGGTGAGAATGGTATTTTTGTCAATACATTTCTTATATTTTGTGATGTAAAGTCTATGTTTTCTTTGTTGTTTTTTAAGGAAATGGGATAGAGTGTGACCTGCAAAAATTTTACAATTGTGTTTCTCCTGTACTTGGTAAGTGGCTTAACTAATTATTTTATTTTTAATTTTACCCATTTGTGTAAAAATTCTTCAGAAGAATAAGACATTAAATAATATTACAGATGTTCCTATAATTAGGAAGAGTACTTATATAGGCATAGCTAAAAAAAAAACAAAGACTAAAGATAAATCTAAGGAGCTCTGGTAGCATAGTGGTTACGAATCGGGCTGCTAACCTCAGGGTCATCAATTTGAAATTACCAGCTGTTCTGCTGGAGAAAGATGAGGCTTTCTGCTCCTGTAAAGATTTACAGCCTCAGAAACCCTGTACAGGGTTGCTATGAGTCAGAACCAACTCCATGGCACATAACAACAACAAAGATAACTCTGAGTTCAAGATACTCTGAATTCAAGATACATCATGATAAAGTAAAAGAGTTCCAGTTTTTATTTCTAAATCTGTAGGAATGATTTTCCAAAGAAATTTTATAGCTTGAATAGACTTTTTGTTTATTTATTATAATAAGTAACACTTGGTCACTTGGCCATTGCAAACATTTCAGACTTTCCAGAATAGAAGATAAATTATGTAAAAATTTGGAGTTACATTATTCTAAGAATTACAGTCATTATTTTGGTGACCATTCTTTCATTAACTCATCTCATTATAAATGCATTATAGCTAAATGCATGATTTTTATTTTACATAAATGGAAATCATATCCATGAATGTCGTGTTCAATGGAAACAACTTTTTATTAAATATAAGTTTTTTCCTTATATACCATTAACCCCAACAAATGTTTATTCTCTAGTATTTTCTATCATAACTTATTCCACATATGTCACTTTGTAATGTCTAGGGCATCAATCTTTCTACAGCACATTTTATTGCTGATGACATTTAATTTTCAAAGATTCATAATTTGTACAGTTCATATTCCAGTTATTAATGGGAGTTTGCAACTGTTTCTTCTCATTTTGAATCATAGCCATCAGCAAATGAAGATCCGGAAGACTGTACTTCATCCATATAATTTAGTTCAATTCTAAGGAGAGTCATATGTTAAGTGCCTTCAAATATGAAGAGCTCTTCTTCTGGCATTGATTAGAAAATATTTTACTGTTATTCATAAGATTTCCCCTGGCCAATTTTTTTCAGAAGTAGATCAACAGGGTCTTCATCCTAGTCTGTCTCAGTTTCGAAGCTCTGCTGAAACCTGCCCATCATGAATGCTGGTATTTGAAATAACACTGCCATAGAAATGGACAAACATATTGTATAGTAGTTTGAACCCAACCAACATATTGTATTATCTACCAGCTACTCCTTGGAAACCCTATACAGGGTTGCTATGTGTCGGAATCGACTCGACAGCACTTGACAACAACAACAACTATGCTGATAGCGTAGTGGTTACAAATCAAGCTGTGAATCTCAGGGTCAGCAGTTTGAAACTACTGGCTGTTTAGTGGGAGAAAGACGAGGCTTTCTGCTTCTGTAAAGATTTACAGCCTCAGAAACCCTGTACAGGGTCTCTATGAGTCAGAACTGACTCCACGGCACATAACCAACCAACCAACCAACTATGCTGATAATGCCAATTTGAAGTGGAATAGTATTGTAGTCACTGTTAAAAAGGACATCTCAAGATCTATCCTGAAATACAACATTGTCAGTGATAGGATAATATACATATGCATCTAAGTTATTACAACTGTTATTCAAATTTACATATCAATAATTAATGAAGAAATTGAGGATGCTTGCCAATTTCTGCTGTAACTTTTCAAATCTGAAAATGATCAAACATACAATCAATATGCATTGATAATTACTGGTGACTGGGATAGGAAAGCTGGAAATAAAGAAGGATCTATAACTGCAAAAGATGGTCTTGGTGATAGAAACAATGGCAAGAACCACATGATAGAATTTGCAAGACCAACGACTTATTTGTTATAAATACCTTTTCAAATAACATGAATGACAACTATGCACATTGTCTTCACTGAATGGAATCATGTCAACTCCATGTTGAAAAAAGACATGGAGGAGGCTCAATATCATCAATCAGAACAAGTCCAGGGATGACTGCAGAACATATACTCATAGAGAAGTTGAAGTTGAAATTGAAGACAATTAAAACAAGTCCCTGAAAACCTTGTTTTTATACAGCCTTGAATTTATAGACCATCTCAAGAATAAATTTGATGCATTGAACATTAATTTTGGAAGACCAGATGAATTGTGGGATAACACAAAGGACATCATACATAGAGACAACAAAAGGTCATTAAAGATAGGAAAGAAAAAAAAAAAGATCAAAATAGATGTCAGAAAAGACTGAAGCTTGCTTTTGAAAACAGAGTAGCTAAAGTGAATAGAAGAAATGATGTAGTAAAAGAGAGGAACAGAAAATTTCAAAGGGAAAATTAGGAAAACAAAATGAAGTATTATAATGAATACTTCAATGAACTTGAGTTAGAAAACCAAAAGGGAAGAACACACTAGGCATTTTTCAAGTTGAAAGAGTTGCAGGACAGTTGTGGGATATGGAGGTACACACATGCACATAAGATTTTGTAGTGTTTGTAGTTACAGTTAAAGAAGTAGAGGGACATAATGAAAGATATGTTCTGAAGGAATATTAGAGTCAAAGTCTTGCAAACAAGTTTCAAAGCTAGTTATGAATCAGGAGATTTTGGAGAAGAAAAGGGTTTATTCATAAGAACAAGGGCTTTCAAAAACAAAGGAATAACAAAAACCTGAATGTCTCTCAAGAACCAAGAGCAAGGAGCAGTGAGGTAGATGCTGGAAAGTGGGTTCAATGAAAGTTGGAGAAAAGTCTGACCTCCTGTAGGTTAGTGACACATTTACCTGGACAGTCAGACTGCACTAAAGGGACAAGGAAAACATGGAAAACAGAGAACTTCGAAAGCTGATTTAGACGTTTCTGGGATCACCCAAGCAAGAGTCTTTAAATGGTTTGCAGTCTTTTTCATACCAGAATATACTGAGATAAGCCTAAATATGTTGTTGTTTTTTGGTGTCATAATGACCCTATGCACAACAGAATAAAATACTGCCCAGCTCTGTGCCTACCTCATAATCGTTATGTTTGATCCCATTATTGCTGTTACCACCTAAGGATGAATTTAGTTAAAACCTGAGTTATTTACTTTTATGATTATGTTTGAAAAATTCCCTTCAATGTGACAAACTATCCCATAAACAACCTTCCATCTTTCTCCAGTTTAAATGTCTGATATTTTATGGAATTAAACACAGAGACTTTCTGGAAAGTTCTTATTTCTAACAAATACCTGAATCTAATGGCTCAATAATTTCAAGGATAACAACTTGTGTTCTTTTTAATGGTTTACTTTGTTGCATTCGTACTAAAATGTAAACAATATTTATTAAGAACAGAGTACTAGAATGTGTTATCTACTTAAAAAACAAACAATGACATTATAAGCTTTAAAATGATCAATCATTTATTCTGTGACATAGCTTTCTTCTCTGCATATCCTGTCATGACTTACATTTCAGATGACATTGAAGCTAAGGGCTTATGTACAATGGGAAGTCATAATTCTACCTGTCCTGTTCCTTGTGAAGAAACAGAATACCCTGCTACGATCTCTTATTCCACTTTTCCAAGTCAAAAAGCCTTGAAATACCTTTCCAAGAAGTTGAATCAAAGCCAAGAGCATGCCAGGTATTATTACCAGTTCTATAAATGATTTTATTTTATTTATTTACTCTAACTTTCACAGATGCAAGAAGTCAAGTTAGGATCCATCAAAGTAGGCATTAACTTACATTGCTGAATTAACAATAAAAGCATAACCTTTTAGAGTTATATAATATTGTACCTTTTAACCCTCCAATTTAATGCTGTGGAATATAAATGACATCTTCTTGAATAACTTGCTCCTGGTTTTACATTTGATTGACCCAACTGGGGAAATAATAAATTTCATATTTTAATTAATGCTTTAAAATATGAAAACCCATTCTGTTGGTAAGTGCCTTTGAGTTGGTTCCAGCTCATAGTGACCTTATGCACAACAAAACAAAACACTGTCCAGTCCTGCACCATCCTCACAATCCTTGTTAAGTGTGAGCCCACTGCTGCTGCCACTGTGCCAATCCATTTTATTGTGTGTCTTCCTCTTTTTCATTGACCTTCCACATTACCTAACATGCTGTCCTTCTCCAAGGACAGACTGGTCAATCTGGATAATATGCCTGAAGTAGGAGAGACAAAGTCTCACCTTCCTGGCTTCTAAGAAGCATTCAGGCTGGACTTCTCTAAACACAAATTGGTTTGTTCTTCTAGCAGTCATGGATACTTTTTTTTAACTAACACCATACAACATCGATACTTTTATTTTTCTGCAACACCATAACTCAAATGCATCAATTCTTCTATGGTCTCCCTTACTCACTGCCCAAGTTTCACGTATATATGAGTCTATTGAAAATACCATGACATGTGTCAGACATACTTTAGTTCTCAAACTGACATCTATGCTCTTGGGCACCTTAAAGAGGTAACATGCATCAGATTCACCTAATGCAATACATCATTTAATTTCTTGACTGCAGTTTCCATGAATAAGTGTTGCTGTTGGATCCAAGCAAAATAAAGTCTTTTTTTTTTTTTTTTTTCCAAAATAAAGTCTTTGAAAACTTCAATCTTTTCTCCATTTATCATTATGTTATTTATTGGTCCAGTGGTTAGGATTTTTGATTTTTTTATGTTGAGGTGCAATCCATACAGAAGGCTGTGGTCTTTGGTTTTCATCAGTATTTTAAGTTCTCTTCTTTTTCAGCAAGCAAGGTTATATAATCTACATATCTCAGGTTGTTAATGAGTCTTTCTGCAAACCTGATGCCATGTTCTTCTTCATATAATTCAGATTCTCGGATTATTTGTTCACCATACAAACTATCCAGGGTCACTATGGATCAGAACTGACTAGATGGCACTTAACAACAACAACAACCTACAAACTGAAAAAGTATGTTGAAAGAATACAACTCTGATAGACACCTTCTCTAATTACTTGTATATAATATAGTTTGAGTCTTGGTGTGGCACTGTGGGTTAATACACTGGAGTGAAAAATCAGTTTGAACCACAAGGTCAGCATTTCAAGCTCACCAGCTGCTCCTCAGAAACCCTATACAGGGTCACTATGAGTTGGAACCCACTTGATGACACTTAACAACAATAAAGTTTCAGCCTCTTAATAATTGCAAAAGGTTTTTAATGTAAAGCGGCATTGAGTCAGTTTCAACTCACAGTGACAGTTTATGGGGTTTCTAAGGAGCAGCTGGTGGGTTTGAACCACCAACCTGTGGTTAGCAGTCCAGTGCTTACCCTATAGTGTCACACCCAGACTCCACTGTATAATATAGTTGGAGCAAAAATTATCATTATCATTCTATAGGTTAGGAACCTGACACACTCTGTATTTTTTTTGGATGCAACCTGACAGGCAGATAGTCCTGATGCCAATAATGCATGCAAAACTAACTCCACCTTAGACTTTTATTCTCATTTCTTGAGGAAACCAGTTACAAAAAAGAAATTACAGGTATTCACTAAAAAATGTGGTTATTCATTTGTGATAAACCCTAATGATTCACGGAAAGTCTTTAAACATTCCTCTAAGAACATCATGATTCCTTTTAGACTAATCAAAGATCATTATCATGTAAAAGGTCAAGCAAGCAATTATACTTTGAAGGTTAACTTCTAGGTCCTCGTGACCCAGGGAGGTTACGTGCCATCTTTCAAACATACACTTTAATCAAAAAGGGGAAACTTAAGAAATCGTCAGTTAAAAAAGCTAAAGCAGGCTTTTCCCAAAGATTCTAATTCTCCTCAAACATGTGGTAAACAAAAGGTACATATTTGTATTTGTGAATGCAAGCAAGTAGTGTCCTTAGTTAAAACTTCTAATCTTTTCTTCTTTACTCTCTCAATCCTGGGGAAGGTCGGGGACAAACTCCGACCACTCCCGAGAATGCAGGACCTTTTCTCTACATTTTTCGGCTTCATTTCGGATTCCAGAAACTCGGGGCCAATTTGGGGGTAGGTTGCCACTATTGTTCTAACTCATGTGGTAGGCCCAAGCAGCTTTTCTCCTAAATCATATGGGGAAGTTTCACTAGCTAACTTTAGAATATGCAGATGCCTAGGGTCGCAATTTGCGGTTTCTCAAAGGTGCCTAACGTATTTTCAACAGTTAATCACAAGAGACTTTAGAATTTTTAT